CCCCCCCCCCCCCAGTCTTCTCTTCTGCAGACTGGGCGCAGGGCCCTCGGGTCCTGCCCCACGCTCTCTGCACCTTGCCCACGGCCTCCTTGCAGCACGGGGCTGCAGAAGTGCCCGTCCCGGCTCAGTGGGGGAGTGCGGGGACCCGCCGGCTCGGCCGGGGCCCCGCGGGAAGGCAGGAAGGAAGGGGCCGGGCCGATGTCCTCGGGGAAGGTGATGGGGGAGGCTCACCTGCCTCGGCCGCCGCGGGTGGGAGCGGGAGAAAGTAAAAACAAAATCGCGTTTCTGAGAAACTGCGAGTGGGAGCAGGCGGGAAGCACCTGCGGGCCGGGCCGGGCCGGGCCGGGGGGCAGCCCCTCCGCGCCCCTGCCTCCCCCTCCCAGGCCGGCAAGCAGCGCGCAGGTTGGACTGGGGGGCACCTCCGGGGCTGCTCACTCTTGCCCCCGCTGCCGGGCAGAAGGCACAAACCAAGCCACAAATGCGCTTCCCCGCCCCGCTTCAGCGCCCGGGGGAGGTGCGCTGGCTGCGCCCCGGTGCCCGCCCGGCGTGTGCCCGGCCCGGCGGCGAGGCGCGCCCATTGTTGGGTCGCGTGGCCCTCATTAGAGCCGAGCACACAGAGCGCCTTTCATGTGGCTTCCCCCTCCCTTCCCGCAGCTTGTTAATGGCCGGGGCCGGGGGGAGAGGAGCCTTCAGCTGTATGGTAATGAGGCCGCCACCTAGACACCGCTGCCCGCTCCGCAGCCTGGAAACCTCGCTGCCGCCGCGGGTCACCTGCAGCCCGGCCCCTGGGGGCGGCTCCGCCGAGCCCGGCAGCCGCTCTGCTCCGCGCCCTGTAGCGGGGGGGCTCGAGCCGGGGATCTCCCGGGGCCCGCTCGGGAGCGGGGGGGATGCCCACCTACATCTTCTGCTTCCTTCCCCTTCTGCCCCGTGCTGGGTGGGATGTGCACTGTGGGGTCCCCGGCTCCTTAACCATCATTAATGCCCCCAGCAGAAATACCCCTCCTTCATGTGCCCCCCCGGCAGGGCACATGCCCACTGTAGTGTCACCCTCCCGCGTGGACGAGAGCCCAGGCAGGTGCTAGGACGTGGAGCGGGTCCGGATCACACCGCACCTGTAGCTGAGACTTGGCCTCCCCCTGGCTCCCCTGGGGGCACTCTGCTCCGGCCCCCTGTAGCCTCCTCCCCCAGTGTGGCCCCAGCCCCTCTCTGCGGCCCGGGGGCAGGAAAGCTCCGGGCCCAGGAGCCGGGCCAGCAGCGGTCGGGCCCGGCAGAGCTCGGCTTCCCCAGCAGCAGCCTCAACTGTCACAATCAAATCTGATGCTAATAGCTTCGGTCCTAAATAAGATGAGAGGCCAGATAACATCAGTGCTTGATAAATGGTAATGAGCGCCTAACCTAGGGGAACAGAAGGGCTGTGGGGCTCTTTAATTCAGTCTTGAAAGGCTGGCTGGGTACTGCAGGCTCTAGCAGATGTTAGTATGTGTGTGTTTTGATTTTTGACTTGTATTGGAGGTTTATTAGGCTAACCAGAGCCACCCCACGCATGGCCACTTGGTCCAGGCGCCATCTGGCACAAGCAGGGCGGCGCGCAGGAGCAGGGCATCGCATTGGTGCTGAGCATCCACAGGCAGCATCTACCATATGGGCTCGGAGCTAATGTAGGTTAAAGCAAGACAAGCTGATCTCTTCTTTTCACAGCTCCGCCAAACCTCCCCGAAATCCCCCCGACGTCCACCTTTGCAGCTAGAGTTTCATCTCTAATCTGGACGCCTCGGGCATCAGGCTCCGGGCACCGATCAAAACACTGCCACGGCGCTGTGCCTTTCCGTGGCCCCCGCCTTCCTCTCCTTACCCAGCTCGCCACTCTTTGGGGGGGGGGGGCAGGGGGTTGTGTATGTTTTCTTCCCCCAACTGCCACGACCTGAAATTGCTGCAATTGCCCCAGCGTCGCCACAAGATAAATATTTTCAGGTACCAGCTGTAAAAATCCGCCCCTAAACCCCAGCTAACCATTACGATTGCAGCCATAAAAGAAGCTGCAATAAAATAATAAAGACGAAATATAATGGACCACCTGCTGCATGTTGACAAAAATGTTTAGATGATAATAATAATAAAAGTTGCGTTCATAGCATCAAACAGCTGGGTCGAAAAAGTTTATAGAGTGCAGGTTAAAGCCTAAATCTATCTCATTGTTTGCGTTTTGCATTCCTAGCAGGCAAGGGAGCTCAGGGTAGGCTGCAAGCGTCCAGTAGCCTGCCTAACGCTTCTGCAGTTTGATCTCGACCTCCTAAAAACTCGGGTCCATCGGTGTCCAGAGTGGTCACTCAATGCTAGTTTTCATCTCAAGCGGGCAACTCACCGCCACTACCATATTGCTCAAACCTGAACACAACCGGGGGAGCAGGAAAATAGATGTGAAGGGTTTTTTTTGTTGGTTTGTTTTGGGGGGGGGGGGGTTGGTGTTATTTTGTTGGTTTGGGATTTTTTTTCTCAAATAATATTTAAAAGTCACTAAACCCCGGGTCCCGCAAGGACTTACGCACGCGCTTAACTTTAAGCACAGAAGTATTAGGGTTGAAATCCCTGGATCTACTTATGTCGTTAAAGGTAAGCTCCCAACTAAGCGTTTAATGGATCGAGGCCTTTATTTAAAAACATCACTTTTGTAGATTTTCTTTTCCTTGTCTGGACAGACTGCAGCCTTTTAGTATTTTAAAGAGAAAAACCTTTGAAGTGAGAGAAGTTTACAAAGATGAATAGTTAGGACCCCATGCATTGTTGTGGGCTATTTTGCTCGTTTAATTAGTATATTACTGCGATATCATTTTTATAATTCACATACGTATACCCATTAGAATATAATTTTACAACTATTGGTTACCAGGGCAGCAAGTTTGATTTAATTTAAATCGTTGGGCCACAGACACCAGATTTTTTCAAAGAAATTTAAAATACAGTTCATTAGGATATTACTTTTACCTCTCATTGAAACAATCAAACCATCGTTAACATCCTGGTCCAGCATCCAGGCTGTTCAGCTCTTCGCAGTTTCACACCGATTCTGTACTGTCTAGGTTTTCTATCTTGTCCTTTTATGTCAAACCGAGCTTAAGTTTATTACAGGAGTTCACAGGGCAAATGCAGTTACTCTGTGTAAGGTGCGGTTCATTTAGTTCTGCTAAAAAGCACCAGACTGCCCAAGTTTTCTTGTCACAGAATAAGTAATCATAGCAGCAACCATAGCCTTTACATCCCCAAAGGATCTCCAGAGTTGGTTTCTCTCTCTCCCCTCTCTGCCTGGGTAAAAATCACCATTGTTTGGAAGGTAACACAGGCCTATGCATCCTTTATGGTCCAATTCCTCCCTATTTTGAGGGTTTAAGTGGGATTCAGGTAGTGCATAGAGTCTTATGATCACTCCCTGTGAGCAGCGATGCTGTCCCAGTTTCTGGATATTGGGAAGTGCGACTCCGTGAACTGAGACTAGCAACTCATTTCTCATGGTCAGTGAAGATGCTAACAGCTTCTAGTGACTGTTCTGCATTGTCCACTGGTGACCTCTGGTCCCTGTTGTCACTTAGCAAAATTCACACCAGTGCCTGAAATATGAGACATGATGTTTTCCCGGTACTCGGAGTTTATCTACTTGATTATTGTTCTGGTGGTTATTTGCTCCGTGTCCTATGCTTACTTCTGGGTTTCCGGTGATTTTTTTCTATACCTTAAATCAAAAATTGTGAACTGATAACTGATATGGGACCAGGAGTTGTTACTATTTGAAAAAAACAAAATCTAATACAACCCGAAAAATGTGTAATGGCGCCCAGATAGGCTTTATTATTATTTTTAACCAGGGAGGCTTTACATTCTTGATTACATTCTTCATTAAAAAGAAAAAAAAAAAGATTTCGTCCAGGTTTTCTAACAAAACGCTCCTGTCCAACCCTGAAACGGAGAGACAAGTCCCCAAGCTGCATTTCCTCTTTGTTCATTTAAACTAAATCTGATTGTATTGCATTTTCTGAAAATCCACGCGAATGTCTCGAACAGTTTCATTTTCCTTTGCACGTATTGAAGCAGCCTTGGAGGTCTTGCAGGGGAAAGCAAGAGAGGCAGAAAAGTGGAGTGGGGGAGTGAAGAAAGGGGCGGGGGGAGGAAGACGGGACTGAAAAAGTGGGAAAGTGAGACAAAAAGGGGAAAGTAGGAGCTGCATTAGACCAGACGTTGTTTACTAACCTTCAGTCCCCCAAGATTTTCTCACTGAAGATTATGTGGGCCACCAAAATTAGTATTACGCTGC